AGTGAATCCCTTTCTGCCCCTTGTTTAGCTAAACCGTCAGCTAGGGAATTAGCCGATCTTTTAACCCAACATGTCTTAACTTCCATCTCCCGCACCGGCCACTTGAATTTCCTCCTCTCATTATTGTACTTCCATAAACCATTGTGATCTTTACTCAGCCACCCTATCACCACCTCTGAATCCCCTTCAATCATGAGCTTCTTGATGTTCAACTCCTTAGCTTTCCGGACTCCTTCCATAACTGCAAAGATCTCAGCTCTAAGGGAGTCACCCACCCCAATTGGACCTGAGAACATGACAGAAATGACCCCATTTTCATCCCTAAAAACACCCCCAATCCCCGATTGTCCCGGATTTCCCTTTTTGAGTTATATTCTCTTTCACTAAACAGAACAGAGAAGAATATTAGATTTTTTTTTTTTTTTAATTTTTCTTTCATTACTCCCTCTCTCTCCATCTTAATTCTTTTATTAGTAGAAAACTACAACCCTTCTTGGCTGCTAGTAGTTTTTTACATCCAGATTCTCTATTAATTACTTATTACATTACAATGTTATGTTTGAAATATTGAAATTAATAGACTTAAGGTATCGCATCGGGGCCTTCCCGATACACCCCTACAGGGGGTGTATCGGCTCAGGCCATGGTTCAGAGGGTAGCCGGGACTTAAACCGACCCCTCTGAACTGGTTTTGAAAAAAATAAATAAAACACAAAAAAAGCACTGATATGGCGTATCGACCTGTATCGATATTTAGAACCTTGCTTAAACTATTATTTCCTTTTGGATATGATGAACTAATATTGGCCGATATAAAGTTTGTTGTTATTTAATAAAGTGCATTGGTACTTTTGAATTTGCTTGCTTGTTAGTTGATATATTAAACTAGGGAAATAACCTATAAACTGTTTTTTTTTTCTTCAGAAAATTCCATTGTGTAGGCAATTTTTATCTAGACATGGGTTGTTAATGGAGTTCTTGTTGACTACCATGCGTTATAACTAGGTGCTGGATTTTATTTAAATGCTACACAAGAGAAATGGAAGAATTGGCGCATGTATGATTATATTGTCAAGGAATTGCCAAAACTTCTGAGTGAAAATTTTCAGCAGCTTGATACATCACGAGCATCCATATCTGGGCATTCAATGGGTGGACATGGAGCTTTGACAATCTACCTCAAAAACCTTGACAAATATAAGGTACTAGATCATCCTTTTTAACTGTTGGGGGAAATATTGGTGTGCATAGGCTATATTATTATTATGTTCCAATTGGGGGTTCCAAAGGAAAATATTGTATGGGGATATCTGGGCCAGTTGCTGAATTGTAAATTAATATGTTTCCTGTTTTCTTCAGTTCATGGGGCTAAATAGTTAAATGCCATTCTCTGTGCCCTGCTCATTATTTTTTCTGGGAAGGATTTCTTTCTTAAAGGAATGAAATTTTGTCTATTGTTGATGATAAAAGAAGTATTAACATGCTGTTTTTTTTTTTTACAAGCAGCATTAACATGCTTTTACTTACATAACTTATTCTTTTTCAGTCAGTGTCTGCTTTTGCACCAATTGTGAACCCTATAAACTGCCCCTGGGGTCAGAAAGCTTTCACAAACTATTTGGGTGGTAATAAATCTGATTGGGAGGTGAGCTTTTAGAAAATCTAGCTGATTACAACTTTAGCTATGCTCAAATTGTAAGAGTTCCTGTTAGTTCTGGAAAGAGCATTGAAGTTGTTAGTTGGTACAAAATTGCAGGATTACGATGCAACTTGCTTGATTTCAAAGCACAACAATGTTTCAGCCACTATTCTAATTGATCAGGTAAAAGCATGAGAATTTTAATTTTAGTGATTTGATTCCACAACAATGTTTCAGCCACT